TATCTCTCTCTATCTCTCTCTATCTCTCTCTCTCTGTCCCTCCCTCCCTCCCTCCCTCCCTGTTCCTCCCTCTCTCTTCCCCTCTCTCTCTCCCTCCCTCCCTGTCTCAAGTACTTTTGTTTGCGGTGTGACAGGTGTACAAGTTTCGCCACCCACATCCTCGACAACGGGAAGACCTGAAGATCTATGAGAGCCACGTGGGCATTGCGTCGTGGGAGGGCAAGGTGGCCACCTACAGACAGTTCTCTCAGAACGTCATTCCAAGGATTGCCGATCTCGGTTCGTTGTTTGGTTTTTTTTTGGGTTTTGTTTCATTGGGGGTTTTTTTTTGGGGGGGGGTTCAATTTTTGCTTTCTGCTTTTTGAAAAATGTTGTATTGTGTTGTGTGGGGATGTGAAGTCTGTGCTGTAAATGAGACATTTGTAGGGAATTGGTCGTCAAGTGATATTTGAATTGTTTCTCTGTACTGTGAATGTGTACTGTGAATGAGACATTTGTTGGGAATTGGTCGTCAAGTGATGTTTGAATTGTTTCTTCTTTTTTACTTCACACAATGTAATGCATATGTGAGACATCATGGTAAATCAGGCGCTCGTCAAGACAAGGAAATGTGAGACATCCTGGTCAAATCAGGCGCTCGTCAAGACAAGGAAATGTGACGTCCTGGTCAAATCAGGCGCTCGTCAAGATAAGGAAATGTGAGACGTCCTGGTCAAATCAGGCGCTCGTCAAGACAAGGAAATGTGAGACATCGTGGTCAAATCAGGCGCTCGTCAAGATAAGGAAATCAAAGAAATTGGCACGTTTTTGGACGATGGGCTATTTTTTTCTAATTTTCTTCTTTCTTTTTTTTGGCTCAAAACATTTTATATCCATATAAACAACATATTTCCATGTGAATTTTACTAAAAAAACATTGATTAAAGGTATTAAATATGTCATTTTTCAGTCTTCAAAGAAGCTATTGGAGTTACCAAACTTTGGCGGCCATTTTCTCGCTAATTTGACCAATGACACCAGGCGACTTCGCTTCCTCTAATCACAAATATCTTGAGTTTATTCAAGATATATAGATATTTCTTTCATTGGAAGCAAGGCAAATAAATCAGCTTTCAGATGATACCAATAATTCCTAAAATTGACGAGCGCCTGATTCCACCGTGTCGTGACTCATATTAAGGGGAAATAACCACTGTTTGAAGTCTTTGAGGAGGCTTATTCTGTTCACCGGACAATGCTTCGGTCGCTTTAAAAAAACGAGCATAAATCACTAGTCCTTGTTTAATTCTGGTTGCTTTAGCTGAAGCATAAGTAAGGTGGCAAGAACAAGCACTCTATGACATATATGCAAGACTGTGTAAGGACGTGTGTATGGTGGTGGCATACTGTGTAAGGACGTGTGTATGGTGGTGGCATACTGTGTAAGGACGTGTGTATGGTGGTGGCATACTGTGTAAGGACGT